TCTTATGGAGAATGGGAGGATTTGAGAAGGGGAGAGAGGTGTTATCAAGTAGAAAATAGTGGAGAAGTTTTTCTTGTTCTCTGAAGAAATATCTCAAACATAGTATTAGTGCCTTGGTTTGCTTGAGAGTCCCTTGGACTGCAAGGAGATCCAACCAGTCAATCCTAAAGGAAATAGTCCTGAATATTCATTGGAAGGACTGATGCTGAAGCTGAAACTCCAATACTTTGGCCACCTGATGTGAAGAACTGAGTCACTGAAAAAGACCCTGATGCTGGGAAAGATTGAAGGTGGGAGGAGAAGGGGACAACAGAGGATGAGATGGTTGGATGGCATCACCGACTTGATGGACATGAGTTTGAGCAAGCTCAGGGAGTTGGTGATGGACAGGGAGGCCTGGTGTGCTGCAGTCCATGGGGTCACAAAAAGTCAAACATGACTGAGCGACTGAGCTGCTTGCCTATGTGTGGCACAGAACACATTATCACACCACCATGAGATCAAGTTATGAAAGGCTTTGTAAAATGGAAAATAAATGGGCTGGCAAATGCCTTTGAAAAACTGCAGTGTGGACCATGAACCCTGTCATGCAGTCCTGCCTCACCACTGAAATCCCAGCATCTGCTGGTTTTGTTTGACCTGCCATCTTTTCAGCTCTCTTGTCTTTTGAGCAGTTTGCTCACGTCCCCTCCACTGGCAACTAGTGATCAAAGGAGTCCCGGTTTAAGCAGAATCTGACCAGTCTGCTCATAGTTGGAGTTCTTAGCACGGCTCACCTTCACGAAACAAAAATCTTCCGTCGCCCAAAGCCTTCGGCGGCTCCGCATTGGCTGCTCACACGGCACAAGGTCATCCTGAGACAGGCTTGGTTCCACCACCGTTCTGTAAACTCTGCCAACTGTTTGCACACAGATCCACTCCCATGGGGACCAAGCAGAGGGAGTGACTGAGACTATTTCCATCACGTCTCAGCACCAGGCCTGACACGGAAGTGAGAGGTCTAGACTTGCAGGCTGAGGGTCGGGGTCTGAGCTCACACCTTTACTTACTAGACAGGGGAAGGACAGGTTACAGGAATGCTCGGAAACCTTAATGTGCTCATCTGAAAATGACGGTTACAATCCCTGTGTATTGCAGAGCTTGTGTGCAGTTTTACGTAATTGTGATTTGTGAAGCGCGACAGATATGAAATGCCTTTAGTCCTCACAGTATAAAGTCTACACAAGATGCTTCCTGAGCAAGCTGAGGTAAGGTGCAAGCAGTTTCAGAACTATTGGACTCATCACGATATTAAAAATGTAATTCTTCAGGCCTTTCATGCCACTTGGCTCTACCAATTGAATATTAAAAAGGAGGTTGAGAAAACCATGGCTGGTTGGCATTTGCAGAAATGTTACTGGAGATGCAGGCTTCACTGTTAGGCAAGAAAGCTCTTGAATTGGTCAGGGCCAGATGCAAACTTCACAACCTGTCCACCTATCCATCGAAGAGAGAGAAAAGATGGGTAGGACTTGACAAGCTCTTTCAAAGGTCCAAGCCTCTGGGGCAGGAGAGTGGGAAGCTGGTAGAAGTGGCTGGGCCCCTCTGCCACTAACCAGTCAGTGGTTGTCACCAGAGCTGTTCAGTCTTTTCATTCTCTGAATGGTATCTTTCAATGAACTGAGATTTAATTTTGCTTTTATTGATCACTATTTTTCTCGTACAGTTAGTGGGGTTTTGTGTGTGTGTCCTTAGAAATCTTTGCCTACCTTGAGGTCATGAAGATATTTTCCTTTGCTCTCTGCTAAAAGCATTTTGGTTCCCTTTTTTATTTAGATTTGTTATCATCTTGAATTAATTATTTTGAGTATGATGTTGGGGTTTAGATAAATGATACCAATCATTATGGTATCACACAGAGTATCTTTGATGCCCTAAAACCCCTCTGTGCTATGCCTATTTGTCCCTCCCCTCCCCCACAACCCCTGGCAACCACTGGTCTTTTTCAATGTCTCCACAGTTTTGCCTTTTCTAGAATGTCATACAGATGGGCTCACATGCTTTATGCAGCCTTTTCCAGGTTGGCTGTTTTCGCTTACTAATATGCATTTAAGGTCGCTTCATGTCTTTTTTTTTTTGGCTGAGCTGAGTCTTCATTGTGGTGTACAGGCTCTCTCTTTTGCTGCACACAGGCTTTTGTAAAAAATCATTTAGCCATCCTCGTGGGTGTGAAGCGATACCCCATTATGGTTTTGGTTTGCATTGCTCTAATGACTAACGATGCTGAGCACTTTTTCATTCACCCATTGGCCAATTGTATATCTTTGCTGGGAAACGTCTGCTCAAGTCCTTTGCCCATTTAAAAAATCGCGTTCTTATCTTTTTGTTGTTGAGTTATAAAGTTCTTTAGATATTCTGGTTGTTAGACTTTTATCAGATACATGATTTGCAAACACTTCCTCCCATTCTGTAGATGGTATTTTTCCTCTCTTGATAATGTTCTTTGGTGCGCAGAACTTAACAAAATTTTGATGAAGTTCAATTTATCTCTTTTGTTGTTGATGCCTGGGTTTTGGTGTCATATCCAAGAAATCACTGCCGAATCCAACATCATGAAACATTTCCTTTATGTTTTCTTCTAAGAGTTGTAAAGTTTTAGCTCTTACATTTAGGTCTTTAATCCATTTTGAATTAATTTTTGTATATGATGTGAGGTAAAGGCCCAACTTTATTCCTTTGTATATGGATACAGTTTTTCTAATGCTAATTGTTAAAAGGGCTTCCCTGGTGGCTCAGTGGTAAAGAATCCGCCTGCCAATGCAGGAGACGCAGGTTTGATCCGTGGGTCGGGAAGATTGCCTTGAGGAGGAAATGGCGATCCACTCCAGTATACTTGCCTGGGAAATCCCATGGACAGAGGAGCCTGGTGGGCTACAGTTCATGGGGTCGCAAAGTCAGACACGACTTAGTGACTAAGCAACAACAATTGTTAAAAAGCCTGTCCTTTCCACATAAAGCGTCCTGACCCTTGTTGAAAATCAACTGACCATATATGCAAGGTTTATTTCAGAACTTTCTACTCCATCCATTGGTGTGCGTGTCTACTCTCATGTCAGTGCAACGCTTTTGATTTCAATGGCTTTTTATTAGGTTTTGAAATCTGGAAATGTGAGTCCAGCAACTTTTATCAAGATTATTTTAGTGAGTTGGAATTCCTTAAGAATCCATCTGAACATTCAGCTGCATTTCTATTTCTGTAAAAAAAGAAAATGCCATTGGGATTTTAATAGGGATTGTATTGAAACTATGTTGCTTTGGGGGAGTACTGTCATCTTAACAATATTAAGTCTTCCGGTACATGAAAATGAGATATCTTTCCACTTATTTAGGTTTTTCCTTTCTTTGGACAATGTTTTGTAGTTTTCAGTCTGTAAGTCTTTTGCCTCCTTGGTTAAATTTATTTCTAAGTATGTTATTCCATTTTATGCTACTTTAATGGAATTGCTTTCTTCGTTTTGTTTTCAGACCATTCATTATTACCTTGATAAGCATGATTCCAATACCCTCATGAACATAATTCCAACATCCCTCAATCTGACCCATTTTGTCAAATGGTATTTTTTAATTTCACTTTTAAATTTTGCACCATATAGAAATATAATTTATGTCTGACCTTGCCAAATTAGTTTATTATTAATTTATTGTGGTATACAGGTTTATTATTTATTTATTATTAGTTTATTGTTAAATTATTAATTTGACCTTGCCAAATTCACTCACTAGTTCTTGACAGCTTTAATTCTTTCTTTCCAGTTTATATGCCTGTAATTTTTTTGCCCCATCGTCCCAGTGAATAGTGATCTCCAGTGCCATGTTGAAGAGAAGTGAGAATGGACAGCTTTGCCTTGCTTTCCCTCTTAAGGTGAAAATTCCAATATTTCATCATTATGTATGGTGTTAGGTACAGGACTTCTGGTGGCGATAGTGGTAAAGAACCCACCTGCCAGTGCAGACGACTCGAGAGACATGGGTTCGATCCCTGGGTCAGGAAGATCCCCTGGAGAAAGGCATGGCAACCCACTCCAGTATTCTTGCCTGGAGAATCCATGGACAGAGGAGCCTGGCGGGCTACAAGGAGTCGGACACGACTGAGACAATAGCACGCACACACATCAGGCTGAGTTTTCTTTTATTCCTAGTATGCTGAGAGTTTTTATTATGAATAGGTATTGAATTTTGTAGACTGCTTTTCCTGTATCTACTGAGTCAGTCATATGATTTTTCCATTTTATTCTGATAATATGATGAATTATATCAGTTAATATTTTAAAAATAAATAGCCTTACATTCCTGGGGGGAAAAATCCTAGTTTTTGGTCATGCTGCATTATCCTTTAAAGAATTCTGGGTTCAATTTGCTAATATTTTGTTAAGGATGTTTGTGTCTATGTTCAAGAGGAATATTGGTCTGTGGCTTTCTCTTCTTGTAATGTCTTTGTCTGGTTTTGGTATTAGAGCCGGCTAGCCAAAAATTTTAAAAATTGGGAAATGATTTTCTCCTCTATTCTCTGAAACAGTTTGTGTATAGTTGGCATAATTTCTTCCTTACAAGTCTGATAGAATTTACCAGTGAAACCATCTTTGACTGAAGTTTTCTTTACAAAAGGTTTTTAATTGCACAACCAGTTTTTTAAATCAACATCAGATTTTCTATTTCTTCTTATGTCAGTTTTGGTAAATTGTGTTTTTCAAGAAATTTTTTTCCTTTTAATCTAACTTAGTATTTGCTAATGATAGCCCCTCTGTATTCCTGTTGTTTGAAATGTGTGTTTTCTCTCTTGTTACCTTACTCAATCTGGTGTTATTTTCTATCAGCCTCAAGGAAATTGTTTAGCATTTCCTGTCATGTGAATTTGCTAGAGATGACTCAGCTCTTATTTATTGAAAAATGCTTTTATTTTGCTTTAATTTTACAAGATATTTTAGTATAGTTTATAATTCTAAATTGCAGGCATTTTTCTTTCAACACTTAAAAGATCTCGTTCCTTTATCTTTTGGCCTTCATTATTTCTGATGAAATGTACAGCTTAATTGTGTATGTGTATCATGTGTCTTTTTTCTTCTGGCTCTTTTTGAGATTTTTTTTTCCTTTAATTTGTTGTCAGCATTTTGATTACAAAGTGACTGGGTGTGACTTTTTTATATTTATTTTGCTTATGACTTGCTCAGTTCTGGGTCTGTGGGTTTATATTTGTTTTCTTTTGTTCAATCATTTAAAAAGCTTGGCTGCCTCCTGCCCACATCGTCTTCGTCTATTGTGGGTCTGCTCTTCTATCTCCCAGACTAGGTGTTTGCCTCACCTGGGGCTATTGGTTCAAAAGTGGGTGAGGGGTTCATTCCTACCTGAAATTCAGTGAATCAGGGCTTCCTTGCATCTACAACCTATTCACCAAATGATTCTTCACTCATGTAGATTTATTTTGCTCTTACCATGGTAATGAAGGCCTTCTGCTTCTCATTCATCATAATCCTGAAAAAAAAATTCAGGATTAAAAAACTAATTTAAAAAATGATTCCTATTCCCTCCTTCTATATATTAACACATGAGAGATTATACTTCCTACTTCATAGAAGTGACGTGTGGCCATGTGACTTGATTGACCAATGAAATGTGAAGTGTGACTGTTGCTGGGTAGTATACTTAAGCCTGTGTGTGATTGGACACAGTCACTGCCCTCTGTGTGGTAAGCTGAATAACGTCCCTCCCCACCAAAGACGTCCTCTTAGTGCCTGCATGGGTGCTGTGCTAAGCCGCTTCAGTCGTGCCGCCTGACTTTGTGCGATCCTATGGACTGCAGCCTGCCAGGCTCCTCTGTCCAGGGGATTCTCCAGGCAAGAATACTGGAGTGGGTTGCTATTCCCTTCTCCAGGGGATCTTCCTGACTCAGGGATCAAACACGTGACTCCCGTGTCTCCTGCATTGCAGGTGGATTCTTTACCACTGACTACCAGGGTAAAGAATGCCTGGGACATTCTTCCTCACAAGACAGAAAGGATGTTGCAAGTGTGATTAAGGTAAGGAACATGAGATAAGGAGATTATCACAATGTAATCACAGGATCCTGACAAGAGGGAGGCAGGAGAGGCAGAACGGGGAGAAGATGTGATGACAGGGCTGAGATAAGAGAGACTTGAAAATGCCCCACTGCTGACTCAGAAGACAGGAAGGTGTGCGCAGGAAGCCTTGAGGAGCTGGAAGGGAGGGAAGCAGACGCTTGCTCTAGAGTTTTGGGAAGATAAACAGTCTTGCCAACCCCTTGATTTTTAGCCTAGTGAGACCCATTTCAGACTGTGACCTTCATTATGTAAGACAATAAATTTGCATTGCTTTCAGCCACTTAAGTTTCTGGTAGCTGGTTATAGTAGCAATTCCCAGATAGCTCAGTTGGTAAAGAATCTGCCTGTAATGCAGGAGATCCTGGTTCGATTCCTGGCTCAGGAAGATCCCCTGGAAAAGGGAAAGACTACCCACTCCATTGTTCTGGCCTGGAGAATTCCATGGATTATATAGTCCATGGGGTCACAAAGAATTGGACACGACTGAGTGCCTTCCACTTTCCAAGAAACAAAGACATTCTGTCCCAACTACAGCAACACTCCAAGCTGAGGAGGCTGTCAGCCTGCTTTTCTGAGCAAGTGACACAGACCACAGCAGAGCCCCAGCTGATCACGGCATGTCTGGAGAATGAGCAAGAAGTAAAATTCTGCCCTTTTAAACCTCAGAGTCTTTGCAGATATCTAATATTACAGCAGACCTATGTGTCAGGACCAATCCCACTTAAAGAATGTAACTCTGTATGGTTTTGCTGTGGGACTTGAAAAGTTTTTTCAGTGGGGCCTGTGAGTTTAGGCCCCAAGGAGTGATGAAATATTGGGGCTACTCCGACAGGAACGTCAGGAATGGTTTAGAGTTAGTTCTGCTGAGGGCCTAGTTATGTCCTGGCTCCTCATACACAGAGGACACACAGAGGTTCAGAACGCCCTGCTGTTTCTCCAACAGAGAGTAATTGAAAGGAAAATCTCTGTAGGGGGGAAACCCAGGGGACAATACAAGGTGTGAATGCAAGTGTACTTCAGGGAGTTTGGCAACAGCAAAGAAAAGTGACTATGGGGGAAGAAAACTGGTAGAGAGAATATAGCCTCTTTGAATCAGTAATGAGTTTTGCTGGATGATGCCATTCAGAGGCAGAGCGAGCTGAAGTCTTCACTCTGCTTCTATAAGAACCAGTCAAATGACAAAGGCAGAAACAAAACTCAAGCTGCAAGCATAGGTTTCTGCAAGCAGGTATGTTTCAGGGTCTCTCCTGGGATCCGCACACATATAATCTGATAATCCCTTTCCTTGTCTGTAGACAAGGATAACAAATATTCCCTAAGAGCAATTCCAAAATGTTAGGATTCTATACTGTGTAATGTAAATTATGACTCTGCAGTTTGCAGAAAGGATAAAATGTGTCTACTACTTCAGTTTCTAAGGATATCAGTTTCTAAGGCCGTAAGGAGTGTATTATATTTTTAGAGATTTCTCTTAGGGTTGAGGAGTACCAGGCCTTGAAAATATCTAGTGAACCATCCAATCTAATGCCCTGTGAGGGTTGGATGATCTTGACACTGATGCTGGGTCCAGGAAGAACCCAGGGGTGGAAGTGCGTTTTCTAGGTTCTGAAGTGAAGAATTCGAGGATCTGGACTGAGTCTAGAGACCTTTCCTAGAGGTGGGGTTGAAGGCAGCCAAGCAGGGTATAACTAGTCAAGTGTGAACCAAGACCCTCAAAGGGGAGTGAAGGTGAAACAGACACAGAGGCAGAGCACCACCGTGATGGACAGGGGAGGAGCCACTGAGAAACACCCTCGGGACTAAAGACAGGAAGCTGGAATCCAGCCTGGAGGCTGAGCGGGGCACCCAGCGCAATAAAGCCCATTTTCATGAAGTGCTGGTCTCTTGGCCTGGGGCTCAGAGAACCAGAGTTGAGGGGACTTCCTGAAGATGACTTGGAGGAGGACCCTGATCCCTGTGGGCATCCGTCGTCTCTCCACTCTGCTTGTGGGTCCCTGAAAGCTTCATCCGTGAACTCTTGCTTACCTTGTCTGCCTCAGGGCCTTTGCACCAGCTCTTCTTTCTGGCGGGAAGGCTCTCACCCCACTTTCGACTTGACCCACTCCTGCTCTTCTGGCTTTTCTCAATGTCTCTTCCCCCACGAAGCCTTCTCTGACCACAGTTGTAACCTGTCCACCCATCCTGTTACTGCCCTTCTCTCCTTGTCTTTCTTTTTTTCCTTCTTTGACACCTATCTGATATCTGGTACATGGTGCAGTTTACTGATTTACTCTATTAGGGGCTCATGGTCTATTTCCTCCTGCTTAAGTGTGAGCTCCATGGATGGAACTAAGTCTGATTGGCTTACTGATGCATCTCTAGTGATGTTCTGGCCCAGTGCAGCTGGGGGTTCTATGGATACCTATTACATGGGTGCAAGGGGCTTCCCTGGTGTCTCAGATGGTGAAGAATCTGCTTGCAATGCAGTTCGATCCCTGGGTTGGAAGACCCCCCTGGAGAAAGGAATGGCAACCCACTCCAGTATTCTTGCCTGGAGAATTCTATGGACAGAGGAGCCTGGAGGGCTACAGTCCATGGGGTCTCAAAGAGTCAGACATGACTGAGACTAACATGTCCACTTCCATATGGGGGAAAAGGACATTTCCAAATATTATCCTGTTGAAAATAGCATATTCCAAGTCACAGGTCATTTAAGGCCCAGCTCTGCCTTATATAACACACGTTAGGGCTGCCAGCACTAAAGGGGAGCATCCTGACACCTGTTTGTGGACTCCAGCTAACTAATTTTTAATCTCCTTTTAAAATGCCGTGACCTTCTCCCGGAGCGTGACTCCTCTTGCCTCTGTCCCACCAGGGGTGGAAGCAGAGCTCCGCTCCCGTGGCTGGGAGAGCTGGATGCAGAGGGGCAAGGGCAGCAGGCCTCTAATTTTTGTCACAAGGCACTTGATGACTCTTTCAGAGTCTAGGTTTAGAGACAAATACCAGGGAGGCAAGTACCAGGGAGAGAGAGATGGCTGCGAGGCAGCCAACCCAGAGGCCTGCTACCCCAGGGACCAGCTACCCCAGGGGCCGGCTAATCCAAGGGCTGGCTCCTAGAGGCACACAGAAAGGTGGCGAGGTTGGTCTCCTCGTTCCCCTTCCTCCTGAGAGCTCCTCCCTCCTTTTCGGGGCTCCACCCACATGAGCACGTGCAAACAGCACAGAACCCATGGGTGCCCAGCGCTCACTGTGTATCCTCTTCAAAGGGCATGGGAACTGGGGAGGGGAACGCCTGGCTTCTCACAAGCAGGCCAGTTGGCTGTCAGAGATGCATCATGGCCTGTGCCTCCCTCCCATCCAGCTCTCAAGGCTGAGGACCAACACACAGCTCCTGCATCTTCACTTTAGCTCAGTTTGAAAGGAACTCATGCACCGTAACTTTCCCCACTGTCAGCTGAGCTTCTGTCTTGACAGGCCACTCAGGGCACACTGATCCCATTAGGCCCCCACCCAGATCAGCAGACATGCTTCCTGAGCAGACGTGGACCAAACTGATGCTGGGGAGTCCTGGCCTTCTTCCAGGTAGGGAAGTGAGACACCAGTTCCTGGGGTGTGACTGTGAACTGAACTGTGACCCCCCCAAATTCATATGTTGAAGTCCTAACCTGCCATGTGATTTTATTCAGAGATGGGGCCTGTGGGAAGGTACTAAGGTTACATGAGATCATGAGGGTGGGTCCAGATCCCACAGGATTGATTTCCTACATGGAGACACACTAGAGAGTGGTTTCTGTGTGCATGCACTGAGGAAGGGCCATGTGAGGTCATAGCAGGAAGGTGGCTGCCTGCAAGCCCGGAAGAGAGCCCTCACCAGAAACTGGCCCTGCTGGACTTTGATCTTGGATAACTGGCCTCCAGAACTGTGACAAAATACATTTCTTGTGTGTAAGTCATCCACATGCTGGGTTTCTGTTATGGCAGCCTGGGCAGACTAATACAGGAGCCACCACGAGATTGCTGCAGTATAGCCTGATCCGTGGATCCAGGGCCTGGGGCCTCTGACTCTGAGGACAGTAGTCCTTCCCAAGGTTCCCTGACCTAGCGCTGCAGGCCTGGGCAGGCACTTGCCTATTCTCACATGCTGTGTTCAATTTTATATTTTGGTCTTTGAAGACTCTCTGGAGATGAGTTTTGCTTTTCTCCCACAAGCGGATAATCTTCTCTAGAGATCACGTTGCAGTCTGCAATAATACCTTCCTCAGAACCCCTCCTCCACCCCAGGACACTGTTAGGAGACCACAGTGCTCGTCTCCTGTGTTTTCCACAGTCCCTCGGGGACCCTGAGCAAGTTCAGGGTGACCAGGTGGAACTTTCAGGGGGTGGGCTCGGGCAGGGGCAGGCTGGTCTGCTTGGAGAACACTGAGGACTGCCCCC